GGTGCTTTCCCAGGGATGCCAGGGCCAGGACTGTGGAAGGAATCCTGCCCCCTCCCCTGGGCTCCTGCCGTGACAGGAGGAAGGAGGGGCCTTTCCCCTTCTTGCTCACTGATGCATCACGACAGGGAGAGGCTCAGGGTCAGGTCCCCACATTGCGCTCCTTCAGCGCAGTCTGGGAGGAGCCGGCTCTCCTGCAAGCCGAGGCCAGCATCTCGAACCCTGCTTTGGAAGCCTATACCTGCCCCACCGAGCCTTGGTACTGGGTGCTCCCATCCCCAGTTCCAGAAGCTCAGTCACAAAGGGCTGGTCTTTGCCATTGCTGTCATCTTGCAGCCACAAACCTGCCGCGTTGCCAGGGCGGGGGCTCCGCTTCCATCGGGGGCTGTTGCCCAGGCAGGCTGGGGCTCAGCCCAGCCTGTGGCAGCATGGCACCAGCATAGACCACCCCTACAGTACTAACAGCCTCACGCTGCTGCTACCAGGTGCTTCTCCATGGCTGGCCAGGGTGCGGCTCGGAAGAACACCCTCCATCAAAGCTCCTGCTTGTAGTCAGGCTCCTAGTCTGGGCTGCCAGTGCTTGACATGAGGAGCTGTGAAAGGCTTCACACTGCAGCAGGGCCCAAGTGCCCAGGAGCTGGCCGGCCCCTGGGGCAGCCAGGACCCTGCGCCAGCCCTGAGACTTGCACTGGATCACTAATCATGCATGCTCGTGATCTCTGTTCTGTTGCACTAACTGCCATGGGGAAGCAGCCTTTGGGGAATGGGGCCCCATCAAATGTTCCCTTGTCCTCAAGGGCCTGTGACTGCTAATCCGGGGAGAGTGCCAGTAAATCTGAGCCTGATGACTCCTGGCACGTGCTGCTGGCTGCACGTGAGACCTGTGGCTGCATGGAGGGAGGGGGAAGGGAGCACCAGTCCCCACATGCCCTCGCTGAGTCCTGCCTCTGTCTCTTCTCCTGCCTCTGGAGGTGGCAGGGCTCCCCTCCCTCTACCCCTGTGAGCGTCGGGAGGCTGCTGGCTGGGGTGGGCGGTGGGCTGTAGACACACTGGGGACTCTCAGTGTTCTCGGTCTGGCCCTTCCTCCGCCATCCCTGCCTGCCCCTCTGGGCCTGACCCGACACTGAATTGGGGCCCCTGACTGACCTGTGGCTGTGCCCCCTGCCGTGCCGAGGCTGCTGGCACAGCCCCACATCCCCCCCAGAAGCCCTCAGGGATGGAGGGGCCCATGCAGCTTCTCCGCAGTCATCTGCTGCTCGTCTCGGGAGCAGCAGCCTGGGGGTGAGTGCGCATGAGAAGGTCGTGCATCTTGTGAGGAGGGAGCCATGGCGGGGCTGGGCTGACAGCTCCTGCCCCTCTCTCTCCGGGTCCAGTGCTGGCGTGTGGCAGGCCCCAGGCCACAGCTGTGTACAAGGTGTCCGAGTACGCACGGCGGTTTGGGGTGCCTGTGATCGCGGATGGAGGGATCCAGACAGTGGGCCACATCGCCAAGGCTCTTGCACTTGGTGCCTCCACAGGTGAGCAGGGAGCTTGGCCCTGATGTTGGATTTCTGGGCATTAGCCCATATCTGGCACCCCCCTGCAGCCTTCCTAGACCCCCGGGCCTGTGAGCAGATTCTATTGACCCAGCTCTGGGGCTCCCCTAAGACTGCCCTGCCCAGGGGTGGGGTCAGTCAAATGCCTGGAGACTGATCTGTTCATGGCGCTGAGCTCCTGTCCCATCAGAGCCAGAACTCTGTTCCAGAAGCCCCCACCTCAGAGTCCTCCCACCTCCCTTCACCATGGGTGGGTAGCAGTCCTTCCCTCTGCAGAACTATGCAGCCCCCTCCCAGCACTTGCTGCATGTCTGGCCCCCTCACATCCCTCAGCCCCACTGGGATGCAGTGTCACGCAGGAGCCCCCCAGCCTGCTCCAGGTCGCTAAGTGCCACCTTGTCCCTCCTGGGTTCCTGTGCTGCCCCTACCTCTGCTGACCCACTGCTCTTTTTCTGGCTGCAGTGATGATGGGCTCCCTCCTGGCTGCCACCACGGAGGCCCCTGGCGAGTACTTCTTCTCAGATGGGATCCGGCTAAAGAAATACCGAGGGATGGGGTCGCTGGATGCCATGGACAAGAACCTAGGCAGCCAGAACCGGTACTTCAGGTAGGAGCAGCCTCGTGCAGGACCCAGGGACTCAGGGAGCCCCAGGCCAAGCTATGACAGCCTCCTTGTTTCCTCCCGCTGCAGCGAAGCAGACAAGATCAAAGTGGCACAGGGGGTCTCGGGCGCGGTGCAGGACAAAGGCTCCATCCACAAGTTCATTCCGTACCTGATTGCTGGTATCCAGCACTCCTGCCAGGACATCGGTGCCAAGAGCCTCACCCAAGTCAGGTAGGCGCTGTGCACCGCTCGGCCTCATGCACTGCTGCCCTTCCCATCCCCAAACAGGCATCCCTGGGCCTGCCTGCCGCCCTGCTCCATTGCTGCCAAGGAATCATAGAATCCTAGAGAAGTGGGGCTGGGAGGGAGGGCCACAGCTACTCCAACCCCTGCCTGAGGCAGGGTCAGCCCTGTCCAAACCAGCCCAGACAAACCATCATCTCCTGAGCATTGGCACTACCCAGTCCCTGTCTGCAGCCTGAGCTGCAGCCAACACCCAGGGCCTCTGTAGGAGGCTTAAGGGCACCCGGAACAGTGCCTGTCCAATCTCATCACTGGAGGTGTCCATGAAGGAGAGTCCACCCCTTCCCTGACATCTGTTCCACTGCCTCCCTACTCTCACGGTGAAGAAGTGTTTCCTGAGATCCATTCTAAACTTTCTTTGCTGCAACTTCAAGCTATTGGTCCGTGTCCTCCTCTCTGCAGCAAGAGGGAAAAGGTGCTTTCTCTCTTCATGGCAGCCCTGCCGGTATTTGCAGACTGCTCTTAGGTCCCTTCCTTAGCACCTTTTCCATAAGCTGAACATGTCCAGCTCCTTCAGCCTTTTCTTGTAGGGCTTGCCTTCTAAGCCCATCATCATCTTTGTTACCTTCCTCTGGACACTGAAACTTCTCCACATCCTCTTAAAACAGGGAGCTCAGAACAGTGCACAGTTCTCTACTCAACACTGTTCAGGCCTCATCTAGAGGTGCCCTCACCTCCCATGTCTTGCACCTAATTCTCCTATTGATGCACCCCAAAACTGTGTTAGCCTTTTCATAGTTTGTAGGGTTGGAAGGGACCTGAGCAGATCATCAAGTCTGACCCCCTGCCATGGCAGGAAAGAGTACTGGGGTCAAACGACCCCAGCAAGGTGTTTGTCTAGCCTTGTCTTAGACCCCCAGGGTAGGAGCCAGCACTACTTCGCTTGGAAGTTAGTTCCAGATCCTAGCCGCCCTGCCAGTAAAGTAGCACCTCCTGACGTCTAGTCTGAATCTACCCTCTGCCAGCTTGTGACCGTTATTTCTAGTCAATCCTGGTCGTGCTCGGGGGAACAGGGACTTCCCCAATGCCTACTGGTCCCTCTGACTAGTTTGTAACAGGCCACTAGATCCCCCCTCAGCCTTCTCTTGTGGAGGCTGAACAG